TAATAAAAGAGCGAGAAAAAAGAGGTTATTTAAATATCTATGTAATATATGTAAAAATCTCGACATAAAATAGAGTAAAAGATCAGTAAAAGCAAAATAATTTAAATTGAAAAAGTRAAAATATCGAAGTGAGATGGATTAGCTTGCCACAACACACACGACCGTCGACAAAGAGAGCAGGAACCTGATATATTTCACTTTTTCACCATTATAATTTTCGCTTCTCCCCTTACATACCCTACGCCTGCAAAAAAGAAAAGGGATTCCACAAATTTTATCTGACTCACAAAAGTGAGCCGAAAGTGTGCCACCACCGACCGGCCKGCCTTTATCTCATTTGTTATAGCTGCTTTGCCAACCGCTGCGCTGCTCTGCTTCTTGCATATCCTGTCGGCGCATTTGGTCCTTTATRCCTTCAATTTTTGGCAAGCAGCTAATGAAAAGATTTAGATAAATTATGTATTGCGCATTATTGAAAGTGGTAGCGCTCGTTCGCCGTCGCCAAGCAGATATTGGGTGGAGAAAAACATTGCTTAGCCTACTTTAAGGCCACTACACTCAATTAAGATAATTTTGTGCATTTTAGAGCGGTTGGGCACATTTARTTTGAGGCGATTAATTTGCAATTTGCATTTCTTTATAATTTGGAGCGCGCTTACCACTTTAGGCACAAATGGAATGGTAATGAAATAATGAGTTTTGTTGGTACTCGCKATAAGCGCAGAAATTAATGTTATGCAATTATTATTAGCGCACTTTTTCTGATAAATTATTATTGCTTTTAATTATGTTTAGCGACTTGGAACACAATTAAATTAAAGCTAAGCGTAAACTAGTTAAACCGGTGGGTAGCACACATTTTAGCGAGATGACATATCTCAAGATTTAGTGGAACAATTTCAACAAAGTTCGGCAATAAGTACTTTGCTGTTATCCCTATGTTACAGCGCTAWACGAGAGAAATCGAAATTTTAAAAACCAGCTGACTATTTCACTTTCCAGTGCAGCAATCCAGCAATAATAAATATATCGAGAAAAAACTTTTTACGAATAAAGTCTTTAAATTGGGCCATCGCCTCACCATAAATTGTCAAAATCTGTCAAAACAGTTCCAGTTACCAGATACCGCATATCTGAACTCCTGTTCTCATTGCGAACTTTTCATCGAAAATATCGTTCAATCTGTAGGACATATTGAAATTGGGCAAAAATTCTTTCCTAACTTAAAAATTTCTTGAAGCTTCTGCATTGCCCGATAGTGCAAGGTCAGGGATATGTGGTGGATGCATCAGAACTTCCCAGCCAAGCTCTCCCAGTTTTGGCCGAGTCATTAAAGATATGTGTTATCTAGCGTTGTCCCGTTTTTTCCCCCTGCTTGCTTCAATCTCATTAGCTGTTCACAGTAAAATGTAGAATCAATCGTTCGACCAGGCTGGAGCAGCTCATATGATTCCTTTTCAATCCCACCAAACACTCAGCATAACCTTTCGAGGCGTCAATCCTGGCTTTGCGACCATTTGTTCAGCTTCACTATGCTCSGACCATGATCTTTTTCGCACATTACTGTCGTATTTGATTCACTTTTCGTTTCCTGCTACRGAAATGGTTCGGTTTCTTTTTGTTTCAGTAAAGAATCACAGATGTTAAATCGGTCCATACAATTTTTCACAGACAATTTATGTRGTACCCAAACATCAAGCTCCTTTTTGTTGCCAGGCTTTTCCAAACAGTTCAAAACCATTTGTTCATGAATGTTAAGTTCCTTAGCGATGTCATCGCTGCTTTTGTTACGTTCCTGTTCAATCTTTTCCATAATTTCATCGATTTTTTCAACGACAGGTCGACCAGAGCGACGTGCATGTTTCAAAATTCCAGAACGGAAGCGAGCGAACCATTGTTGTGCTACACGAACTGATACAGCATCGTATCCGTAAACTTCAAAAATTTCACTGGTGGTTTGCCTGACTTCTTACCCTTTTTTATTCAACAACTTTAAAATATAGCGAATTTCTCCATTATTTTCACTCATTTCTGAACAGCTGTAACGTATTTTCAACTTAACGGAATCTAATTTTTTTATTTTTTTGGTAAAATGAAACATAAAATCTCACCTTTCCAGTACTTAATGGTATGGTAAAATGTAATGGGCAGCACTGGAGACATACGAATGCAACGAAATCTACTGACAATATACGAAAATACTTTTTCGACTACAATATATTGTTGAGTAAAGTTCCCTACAAATGCAACTAAAATTGGATTTAGCAGAATTTATCTATGGAAACTTGAAGCTATCTATTGCAGGCTACTTGAGGCTACATATTCGCATATATATAATATTATAGCTCTTTATATACAGAAAAAGCGAAAACTAACTTTAACGAGCGCAAATAAAAACGCGAGCAATAAATAAACGAGCGCTTAATGTTGTAAAGCGGCCGCTTACAACTCTAAAACAACAAAAATTGGCGAAAGTTTTAAATTTGCGAAATAGCAGCTGAAAAAGTGGGGGGGAGGTTAAATAAAGTGAAGTACAACAAAAAAAACGGTAATTTTAATTTAACTTTTAATTTCAACAACTCGGCGCCAGGTGTGCGCTCGGGGAACTTTCGCGCTATCACGACTGACGCTACTAATTACAACAATTTATTTCACATTTCATTGCAGATACAGCGTCAGCGGCAGATAGCTAGGGGCGCGGAGAAAGCAACAGCAAAAAGTTAAGAGTAAAAAACAACAGTAACAACAACAAAATACACAAACATAAAATAGCAAAGTGATGGCATGTAGACRAAAACAACAAATTCAAGTAAGAACACACACGTGGTAATGATGTTGCTTTATGCCAAAACAGGCGCAAGCAACCACAACAACAATAACAACAAGAGCAACAGCAGCCGCTGTAAACACTACCAGATAACAAGCGACATTAAARACCAGTAACAGGCACTTGACATTTTTAAAATGTAATCAAGCGTCAACGAGCACAAAGCGCACGCTGCCACTGACACATTGCCTGACATACATTTAGGCGCACATACAAGTTTTTGCTCTCACACTTTTTGCCGCGCGTCCATTTGCGCATTTTACGAGCGTTTGCCATACGCAAATTAACAACAAAACCGAAGTAGATGTGGAAGAGGTTGAAACTGAAGAAAGCGGATACGAATAAGCAGAAGAATTAGTAATAGAATTCGAAGAAACAGCAGAGAAAAAAACAAATAACAACAACAAGTGACAAGTACGGATAACAAGCAGCTGCCGCATAACAGGCATGAAAACGGCACGAGGAAATAAAATTTGAATAGACAACAGCCAAGTGGACGTGAGTGCGCGCCTAAAAGCAGACGACGACTGCTGCGAAGGCCACTTCCCTTGGCGACCTAATTCAATTGCTGGCGCGTTGAATAACTGGACGTGAAGGTGACAAAGCAAAAGCGAAAAAAATAGAAAAGTTAGCAACAACAACAACACGAAGCTTACACAAAAGAGTAAAGAGCAAGCTGAAATACAAATGTACACAAGCTGATGCGCAAATGCCTGTCAGCTGGAATTCCTGCAAATAAATAGCGACGTTAAATATCCGCAACAACAACAACAACAAAATTATTTATAATTTGAAAGCACCAATTTATTTACTTTTCCGCGCTTGCACAGTGAAAGTGCAGAACGTGACACAAATTTGCAGCGGACAAAGCGCTGAGTATCTCAACAAGCTACGCGCCGGAATGTCCGGCATWCCTGCCACAAAAAGAAACGTATTTCAACAAATAACGGGTGAATAAAAACATAGAAATTAAACTACAATAAAACGTGCCAAAAGTAAACGCGAGTGAAAAAAACTTACTGTATTTTAATGATTGTGTCAATAATTTGGTGAATATTTTTTGCATAATTTTAGGGGCGCGCATAAAAAACCATGACTCCACGAGAAGCATGGCTATAAATGAGAG